GCACGCACGCACGCACGCACGCACGCACGCACGTACATACACATACACACACACACACACATACACATACACACACATACACACACATACATACATACATACATACATACATACATACATACATACATACATACATACATACATACGCGCGCACGCATCCCTCCCCCCCCTCACAAACACACCTTCCATGTAAAGGATCGAGTCTCTCTTGTGGCTTGACAGCTTACGACCCACCGCGTGCGGGTGAGCCATACGGTCGTAGCCTGCGGCTCCCAGCTTCTACAAGAACATATACAGCATCTCAACTCAGCCATCTACATCACTACCTCACACCTATCTGTATCTCTACTGTACACCTATATGTATCTGTATCTCTATCTCTATCTTTATTTCTATCTCTATCTCTATCTCTATCTCGATCTCGATCTTGATCTCTATCTCTATCTCCGTCTATATTTATATCTTCGTCTATATTTCTATCTCCGTCTCTATCTCCGTCTCTATCTCTATCTCTATCTCTATCTCTATCTCTATCTCTATCTCTATCTCTGTCTCTGCTATCTGTTGATTATGCGGTATATGTTACCTGTTAATTAACATGTTACCTGCTGGAGATGCTTTCTGCGCGTGCGCTCCTGCCTCCACACGCCTGCCAGCTGTATCACCTGCTCGATGAGAAAGAAGCCAAAGATGCCGCCTAGCGCCGTCATGCCCTTCCACACCGCATCGTACCTGCCGAACAAACACCCGCTTGTTAGTTACCATGGAGACACTGATGAGGACACCGCTCGTTAGTTACCATGGAGACACTGATGAGGAAAACGCCCGTTAGTTACCATGGAGACACGGATGAAGACACCGTCCGTTAGTTACCATGGAGACACGGATAAGGACACCGTCTGTTAGTTACCATGGCGGCATGGATGAGGACACCGTCCGTTAGTTGCCATGGGAGACGCGGATGAGGACATCGTCCGTTAGTTACCATGGGGACGCGGATGAGGACACCACCCGTTAGTTACCATAGAGACACGGTGAGGACACCGCTCGCTAGTTACCATGGAGACACGGTGAGGACACCGCCCGTTAGTTACCATGGAGACACGGTGAGGACACCGCCCATTAGTTACCATGGAGACACGAATGAGGACACCACTCGCTAGTTACCATGGAGACGCGGATAAAGATACCACCCGTTAGTTACCATAGATACACGAATAAGGACACCGCCCGTTAGTTACCATGGAGACACGGATGACGACGGAGACGTCTGCTTCTGATATTGTGTAGTATATATATGATATATATGTACAGGTGTGGTGGGAGCGGGTGTGTATACGTACTTAGTGCGATAAACTCCGTGCTCGTCTATTCCTGCCTCCTGAGCATGTATGCCAAGAGCCTGCAGCGTTAGGGCAAGAGTGTTATTATACATACATTACATACATAACATAGGCCCCTACATAACATCAAGAGCGTATCAAAAAGGTTTTTTATACGTTCTTGATAACATACATAACATACTTAAAACTGCATTGCATGTACTTAATGCATTACATACATTACCTAACATACGAGCCTGTGTGTGTATGCGCGCGTGCGTGCGCGTGTGTGTGTGCGTGTGTGTGCGTGTGCGTGCGCGTGCGTGCGCGTGTGTGCACATCCGTGTGTGTGTGCGCGCGTGCGTGTGTGTGTGTGTGTGTGTGTGTGTGTGTACGTGTGTGTGTCGCGCGTGTGCGTGCATGTGCGTGCGTGTGTATACATCGAATGCCCACGCGACTGCCAGCCAGCAGCAGCTATATAAGGGACTTACGTGCGGGAACAGATGCAGCAGAGCATCTCCAGACAACGAGCCGACAGCGAGAGCGACTAGGAAGTGTAGCACGTGCCTGTAGAAGGATCTGTTGAGCAGAGGCACGACGGCGACTCCGCCCAGGCCGCATAGAGAGATCACCAAGATGGCGAGCGTCGCGTAGCCCCACACTGTAACCATGGCAACAACGCACATTGTCAAGATGAAGTCAGTTGGTGGGGCGGGCGAGATTAAGGGGTTGGTTTGTGCGTGTTTGTGTATGTGTGTTCATTCGTCACTACTACTACTACGTAATAACAGTCACATGACCCCAACATGTTTTCAGGTTTTATATGACTCAATACAGTTGCAGTACACGATCCAGGCACGTCCCTGCTCCGCATGAAAGAGCCTCGCGCCTAAATAAGGGTAACTGCATGGGACAGCACCACTTACTTTCTCTCGCTTTCTTTCACTTTTTAGACCAAATGATCTTCTCACTTGACATGGCACGTACGGGGCACAGATACCTGACCAAAATGCGTAAGTGCTAACAGAATGGCGATTACCGTACGCCGTTTATAGTGACTATAGCGACAATCATATACGAACTGATCTTCTAGATAAAGCCCACTCCTACACTGACTCGACTATCGCCAATCTCTGTACGCCTGTGTTACGATACGCTTCGATACATACCGGGGGTCCGCTACACGTGGGATAAAGGGGGACCCGCTGGTAGAAACATCAGTAATAGTTATAGTATCATCATTAACAATTTAAAACTGTCACAGCTCTTCCCGCGACGCGTCCATCTAAAATCGTGATATTCTCCTCTTAATGATTTAATTATTGTTATGATTTAATAATTTATTTTATTTTATTTTATTTTATTTTCGATTTTTGATTTATAATTCTCGATTTTTCGATTTTTGATTCTATTATTCGTGCATGCTAACGATGGCTGCGACGCCAATGCAGGATATACGCCGCATCGCGCATGCGCACGTACCTTTACCGGGGATGCTAGCAATACTGGAAAACAACGTGTCGAAGCCGTTTTCGTCAATCGCTTCGGCCACGGCGGACGTCCAACTTTGACCGCGACCTTGACCTCTGTCGGCGGCGAGCTGGGACACGCAGTCGGCGATGTCCAGTTCGTAGATGATAGCCGGACACACGTGCAGGAAGGCGTGTTCGCTGATGTGGTCGTTCGTGTGCAGGTTGAGGGACAACAGGATTTCTCCCGGTGTCATGCACTAGAGTGAGAGAGAGAGAGTGAGTGAGTGAGTGAGTGAGTGAGTGAGTGAGTGAGTGAGTGA